TCTTTGCAGATGCATATGAGACAGCCAAGATGCTATGTGAACAGTATTACTTGGTAGCTCCAGAGCTGGAAGTTGAAGAATTCAATGGTAAAAGAAAGATAATTTTAACCTGAAATACAAAGAAGCTGACTAAAGAACTGCTTATACCTGAGCTATATTTTAGTGAAGTCCTACAAATCTGCTGCTTTTAAATCTTTTTAAAACTTTCTCTGTACCTTGGTCAACCAGATGTATTGTTGTAAGGAGTTTTTGCACAGAAATGTTTAATGCATCAGACCCCAGAGTTCTGGGAACAGATGTAATCAAGGTAGAAAATGCACAAAAGTTAAAAACAGGCATTTCTCAAAATAACAAAGGCAAACAGTCAATAAACGTATGGAAAAGTGTTTAACTTTTCTCTTCAAGGAAGTACACACACACACACACAAAAAAAAAACCCACAGAGAAATGTCTTTTTTGCCTTTCAAAATGTAAATAATTAAAACATTTTAATATTTTGAATTGGTGCCCAGAAAAATAACTTTCTCACCAACACTGTGTATTTCTGGCATAAGTTTAAATTAGTACATCCTTTCTCAAAAATACTAACGATGTTCTTTCTCTTTGGCCTAGTAAATTAAATTAACGATGATCATATTCTTCGGTCTGCTAAATTAAACTTCAGAAAAGTTACTATAATAGTGATGTGCAGAGATTTCTGTACAAGAATGATGATCACAGTGGTGGTCTTATAGAGAAAAATTAGAAAACAAACCCAGTTTTCCACAATAGAGGATTATTGAAGTAAATTATGGTACACCCATAAGATAGAATACTATGCAGCCATTCAAAAATAATGTTCAAAGCAATATTTAATGTTTGGGGAAAGTTGAGTTTTTTAAAAACCCAACTATAAAAGTTTGTAATAGTGTAAGTTCATTCAAAAGTATTTTGAAAGATTTATACTATCAAAATGTAAACAGTAGCTCTCTAGATAGTAGAATTATAGCTCATTTTTATATTACTCATGTTCTTCTATATTCATGTGCATACTACTTTAAAAAAAACTATAAATTATAAGAGATATTCTCATTGGAAAAATACAGAAATGTAGAGGAAAACCTGAAAGCCTCTGTCTTAGACAGAGCTGTGTCTTTCATATAAAGGGTTCAAGCTATACATGTTCTATAACTTGTGTTTTTCACTTTACCTTGAAGATGTATTAATGTCATTTACAGATTATCCATAGTACCGTTGTTATGTGTCGTTGAGTTTATCCTGGCTTATAGTGATCCTATAGGACAGAGTAGAACTGCCCCATAGGGTTTCCAAGGCTGTAATCTTTACAGGAACATACTGCCAGTCTTTTCTCCTGCAGAGCAGCTGGTAGGTTCCAACCACTGACCTTTCGGTTAGCAGCCGAGTGCTTAACCATTGTGCCACCAGGGTTCCTCGATCCATAGTGTAGATTACTAGAATTTATTCAACTATTTCCCTATGCGTGGACATTTAGGATTTCAAATTTTCCTATATTACACATAATGATCAAAAAGCCATCTCTCTGCATGTGTTTGTGGTGGTGGTCATTGTTCAATACTCTCAAGTCAGTTCTGACTCATAATGACCCCATGTGTCAGAGTAGAACTGCCCCATAGAGTTTTCTTGGCTGTAATCTTTACAGAAGCATATCACCAGCCACATCTTTCTCCCGTGGTGTCACTGGGCGGGTTCGAACCACCAACCTTTCGATTAACTGCCAAGCACTTAACTGTTGTGCCACCAGGTCTCCTTGTGTGTATAGTGTAGGAAAATTTCTGAGTGTGTGTAAGAATTTCTGTAGGTTAGATTCCTAGAAGTGGAATGACTGATTCTTAGGGTATGGGCATTTACAATTAAAGATATAACCAAATCCCCTCCCCAAAATATACCAAAAAAATGTATTTCCCTTATGATGAGACAGAGATGTAAAAAGACTTCAGGCTGCTGTTTAAGGACAGTTGCCCTTACATTCTGCTAGAAGATATGAAACCAAAATTGCTTTGAAAGTCTAGGACTTTTCTTGAGTATTCCTGATTAGATGCATCTTAATATTCTCCCTGTTTCTTCCTGCTGGCTAGGCAGAACTTGACCTAACAATCTAGATTTATATTCTCGAACACTGAAAGTTAAATTCGCAGGTAGTAACAAATCACGGCTTTATATTCATGGCAGCCTCACTCACTCTTATGTCCATTGCAACAAACCCATTCTCACTAATTCCTGGATGCCAGCTGTGTCACTACCAGCCGAGGCTGTCACACTGGGCAACTCACCCCACCACAAGATTGGACTGTGGATCCAGTCTTCACAACTATTTTGGCAATATCATATGAATGATTCTGAAGCTCCTTTCCCATCACTAAGATAAACGAATGTTAGTTATAATAAATCAAAATTATATTTATGATTTCTTGAATGCCAGGGTTCTCTGTGAGCTTGTATAAGGGCTATGCGTTAGCTCTAATGAGTTCCATGTTAGAGATAAAGGCTGGAGATTGGTTCCGAACACCTTAAGTAGACACTGCTGCTTTATAATGAGAGAGAGAGAGAGATTTTCCCACACCGCAACAGCTGACTTCATTTTCAAGGGAGGAGTCAGATTCAGGTTCTAAATGGATTCATTTCAGAGCCAGTCTAATAACCTAACATAGCATCTCATTTCAGGATGCTTTTATTACACAACAGGCATCTTTGACAGTCATCGGATAGAGTGCTGCTTGTTGCTGTGAACTTCAGAGTAAGGCTGACAGTAATGCAAAAGAATTATTTGTTGATGTTGTAGGTGCTGTCGAGTCAGCTCTGACTCACAGTGACCCTGTGTACTACTGAAAGAAACGCTGCCCAGTCCTGCACTTTCCTCAGTTGTTGTTATGCTTGATCCCATCATTGTAGCCCCTGTGTCAATCTACCTCATTGGGGGTCTTCCCCTTTTTTGCTGATGCTTCACTTTACCAAGCATGATATCCTTTTCCAGGGACTGGTCCCTTCTGATAACATGACCAAAGTAGGTGAGACGAAGCCTGGCTATTCTCGCTTCTAAGGAGCATTCCAGCTGTACTTCCTCCAAGACAGATTTGTTCGTTCTTATGGTATTTTCAGTATTCTTTGCCAATGCCACAATTCAAATGCATTAATTCTTCTTTAGTTTTCCTTATTCTTTGTCCAGCTGTCACATGCATATGAGGCAATGGAAAATACCATGGCTTGGGTTAGATGCACCTTAGTCTTCAAAGTGACATCTTTGTTCTTTAATACTTTCAGGAGATCTTTTGCAGCACATTTGCTTGCAATATGACGTCTAATTTCTTGACTGCTACTTCCATGGGCATTGATTGTGGATCCAAGTAAAATGAAATCACTGACCACATCAGTCTTTTCTCCACTTATCATGATGTTGCTTACTGGTCCAGTTGTGAGGATTTTTGTTTTCTTTATGTTGAGGTGTAACCTATACAAAATATACTATGTATATGTTGTTATAAGAGGGTTCATAGAAAAGGTATGTGTCTATCTTGGGATCTTTGACCTCTAGTTTCGCCACAGTGGATATACTTTTATGGGTACTTTCAGTCAAGTGGTTCCAGGCAACAATCGAAAAGCCATTACTGGTGGCACTGGGTGCCATTGAGTTTATTCCAATTCATAGTAACCCACCCCATGTGACAGAGTAGAACTGCTGCATAGGGTCTTCTAGGCTGTTATCTTTATGGAAAGGAACCCTCTTGGTGCAAAAGTTAAGCGCTCGGCTGCTAACCAAAAGGCCAGTGGTTCAAAACCAGCAGTGGCTATGCTGGAGAAAGATGTAGCAGTCTGCTCCTGTAAAGATTACAGCCTTGGAAACCCTGTGGGGCAGTTCTACTCTGTCCTATAGCGTTGGTACGGGTTAGTTGAAAGCGACTCAATGGCAACAGGTAGTCTTTACAGAAGCCAATCACCACTTCTTTTGCCTGCAGAGATATTGGGTGGGTTTGAACTGCCAGCCTTTCAGTTAACAGCTGAGTGCTTAACCATTGTGCCACCAGGGCTCCTTCCATTACCGGTAGCTCTGTTCATATTGTAGAAATTAAATTTTAGTAATAATATCCAACATTTATTGAGTGACAAGCTCTGTGTAAGCTAGTTTATCACCATTATCTCATTTAATCCTTACATTAACCCAATGGGATATATACTGTGCCATTTTAAAGATGAAATGCTGAGTCCCAGATGGGTGAAATGGCTATTAATATAGCCATTAACTGCCAGAGTCAGGACTTGATCCCAGGTCTGTCTGTCTTTGAGCCACACTAAATACTGTCTCTAACAGCCTTGTGGATTGATTAGCCATCTCTAAGTACCCAACTACCTTTTCTCTTAAATGGGTTTTTATTTTAAGCTTTCTTTTTTTTTTGTTTTTCCTCCACTCGTATAGAAGAACTGTCTGAAAATAAAATTCCTTTTATCCTAGGCCGAATTCTATTGGCATTTATTAAATGTTGTTTCAACTAATGATACTTGGAGCAATGACTGTACAAAGCAGAGACTATTATTTATTGAGTCTTGAGGATAGCAAATTTGGACTGTTTTTTGCCACTGACTTTTCAAAATATACCCTTAGACAGAAAATTCATATTCCATTTGTGTCTAGTTTTAGAAAGTCAGCAAGCATCTATTAAGGGTCTTAACAACCACTGGACCTAGGATTAGGGAAGATTCATGGACAGAAACATTTGATGTGGTCTTAAACGGAATGAAAGAAATCTAGACTATAATGTTCCCAAAGAAAAGTGTAAGTAATTGAGAAAGCCTTCAAATGGCTTTTAGAAAGTGTTGAATTGGAAAAAAAAAATGATAAAAGGTATTTTAAGATTAGTTTTTCCCTAAAATTTGGAGTGAAAAAAGTTGAATTCAGAAGTTGGGTAAAAGGTCAAGCACTCAGCTTGCTCCTCAGACCCCATTAAAATACCAGTAAAGGACTACAAAGAGAACCGGCAGAAGAAAGCTGGGGGGCTCATCGGTAGACCACCACTCCCAGCTCCTGAGAGAGGGTGACCAGATGGAAATAGTCCAATAACTGGAACAGAGCAGAAGAAGCCACAAAGGGGGAGGCTGCACCTACTTTGCCAAAGGTTAAACTGTGGACTGGCTCTAGGAGCAGAGCTGCAAGGTGCCAAGGACTGGAATGAGAAGGTGGAACCAAAAGGCAGGGGTCGATTGAGAGCTGATCTAAGGAAGCGCATAGAGGAGTGATGGTAAGCTGGTTGACTCGGGCCAAACTCTGTCTACATCCAGCCACGGACATTGTTCCCCCAGGGAAAAATACAAATGTAGGTACTCTCTGCACAAGATTATCTAGGAAGAACTGGAATTGTTCATGTGAGTGTTGGTATTCCCAAGTAAAGTTCTCTTCACTTAAACATGTGGGAACCCTCCAGTCAGAGACTACATGCTCAACCAAAAGCCTGCTGAAGCATCTGGAGCATGTACACAGAGCTCCAAATCAGCCTTCCCATGTAGGGAAAAGCTCCAGAGGGGAGTGCAGCACTGGCCCCCTCTGCTGAGCCGTCTAGTTCTTTATTCTTCAACGAAACCTCACAGCCAAATATCAGACCTTGGGAGAAAGCCAGCAACAGCAGCGATTACCTGGCTGGCATTCAACTTGTCAGCTGTGTCACTGCCAGAAGACCTTCTTCCAAAATTCTGAGCAAAATGAGGTTGAACCCAGATTCCATGCCTAGCCAAGCCTTCAAGCAAAGGAATCATATTTAAGGAGGATTGTAGCTCCCATGTACACTTTTCTGAGGTAGGTTACCTGACTGACTTGACCGTATATATAATATGGATATAAGAAAGAGTGAAAAACATTCTAGAACTTAAGTTAAAAAAAAAATAGGATGATTGTGAAGCGTGTCTAGCAAGCAGTCAATTCTAATCGGAAAACTCTTGACGAATGGAATGGATACCATGTAGTAGAGTAAGAAGCTGGATGGTCTTAGTAATATGATGAAGAGAGTGTGTTTCTTGTTCCAGTTACCAAAAGGAGGCTGTGTTCATTTCCTAGAGTTGCCATAAAAATTACCCCAAGCTGGGTGGCTTAGAGGGGCCCTGATGGTGCAGGGGTTAAGCTCTTGGCTGCTACCCGGAAGGTCTGTGCTTGGAACCCACCAGCAGCACTATAGGCGGAAAGACTGGTGACCTGCTCCTACAAAGATGACAGTCTTGGAGACCCTGTGAGACGAGTCTCCTCTGTCACGTAGGGTCTTTATAAGCTGGAATTGACTCGATAGCAGTGGATTTTGGGTGGCTTAAGACAACAGAAATTTATTCTGTCATGGCTCTGGAGGCCAGAAGTCTGAAGTCAGGGTTTGTTCCCTTCTGCAGGCTCTGAGGGGGAAATCTGTCCTCTAGCTTCTGGCGGCAGCTGGCGTTCTTCGGCACTCTTTGACTTTTAAACCCATCACTCCATTCACGGCCTCCGTCTTCACATGGCCTTCCCCTGTGTCTCTTTCCTTGCTCTCATAGGGACACTAGTCATTGGTTTTTGGGCCCACTCTAAATACAAAATGGTCCTTAACTTAATTATTTCTGCAAAGACTGTTTCCAGTTAAGTTCACTTTCACAGGTACTAGGGGCGGGGGTTGGACTTAGAAATACCTTTTTAGGGCCACTATTCAACCTCCTAAGGTGCTCTGGTGGTGCAGTGCCTAAGGCATTAAACTACTAAGCAGAAGGTTGGCGGTTCAAAGCTACCAGCCACTCCGTGGAAGGAAGATGGGGTGATCTACTTCCTTAAAGATTTACTGCCTTAGAAACCCAATGGTGGTTGCTATGAGTCGAAATCAACTCAATGGCAATAGATTTGGTTGTTTTTGGTTATTCAGCCTGTTGTAGAGAGGTAGTTAGAAACTCCAGGTAAAATCCAAAACGGTATAAGAAAGACACAATCCAAATATTAAGCAACCTAAAAAGAGGAGCATAATTTCAAGCAGTTAGCGTGTAGGGAGAATCCATTTCATCTTAAGGTTGAGAACATTCTGTTTCAAGTGACACATTAATCATGTCATTAGGCTCATAGGAAAGGAAATGTTGTCCTGGTACACTGTGGTGGCCACTCTGCAGTGATCAGTATTTACCTAGTTATCATATTACCAACGTTACACTATTGATTTTTAACTTTTTGAAAGAACTTGTAGAAAATAATAAAAGATTTATGCTTTTACTAGGTATGAATCTGAGGGGTGAAATGGAAAAAGTGGAGGGACTTCTGCTTTTTTTTATGTTTTAAACCATTTGCATATATTACTTAGAATTTTAAAAATAACTGATTGTCAGAGGGTTTGGGATTCAGAACCAAAAGATCTTGATTCAGATGACCAGTTTCAGCACCTCTTCTATTACTGTGGGCAGGTCACATAGCCTCTCTAAAGCCTAGTCTTCACCTATATATATTTCCTCACCTGTATTATAAACCTAGTTTCAGCTGGCTTTATAATAAGGCCTACCCTTATGAACCACACAGTATTGTCATGAGCATTAAATTGGATAATATATTGTGAAAGCTTTGTAAATAGTTATGTATCAAACATGTTAGCTCTTTATTATTGTGAATTACTTTATTAGAGGAAGTAGTTGAGTTGAAATGATAATAACATGGGTGGGTGTGTCTGTATTCTAGTTACGAAAGCTCAAGTAGTTCACTCTCATAAGTGACTTTGGGTCGTGAGGAGGAGGAAGGACTAAACATACCCCCAACGCTGTTCTTAGAGCTTAACATGGAACTCAAGTGTTTCTGATTTTCCTCAGGGGATCCCTGGGGCAAGGAGAAAGGACTGTAAGTCACCAGGACTTTGTCTGTTAGTTGCTAACAGAAAACGTTGAGTGACCCTTACATCCTGCCCTATAATATGCCTTGTTTGTCATCATTTAACAGTTTAACATTGCTGGCTAGTCCACTTCACCTTGAAGCGTACCTCTTTTCTCCTGTGGCTTCACGATCCCTAGGCTGCCTGCTGGGGTCAGTGGTGGAGAGTGTTCCCCAACTTGAGAAATGTTTAGTGATATTTGGATGATCTAATATAAATCTGAGAACATTATGACACAGGTGATAATATTCCGTTTCTGCCCAGGAGGAAACTGAGTAATTTGTCCAACGTTTTATCACTGGTAAGTGAAGGAACTAGAATTTCAACCCAAGTTTGTTTGATTCCTAAGCATATGCTTTTTGTTAGCCCTGCCTGTAGCAGTAGAAACTTAAGGTAGCCTTTTATAGACTTCTCTTTTTATGTATTCTTGGGAAATGGAATGCCACAGTCTTTCGTAACTTCTACTTTAGGCTCTTAGTCATTGATGGTTTTGTCTCTGTTTTCAGCCAAAGCTCCAGACAAACCTATTCAGGTAGTTTATGTGCCCTCACATCTGTTTCACATGCTATTTGAGTTGTTCAAGGTAAGTGGAATTTAAAAACACGGAAAGAAGTCTTCATTTTAAATTACTTGATTCAGGGCATAATGGATTCATTAGATTAGCATAAGAAAAAGGTTTTGCATAAGCATTTGAAAAATTCTATTTCTGATATCCTGTGGGTTTTATAATTTGTACACTGTGAGATGAAAAATTGCTGTGTACAGTATAGTTTTTGTGAATATTAGTACATATTGATTTTGAGACATAATTGTGCTTCAGTGATTTTATGTAAAATCCATACTATTTTTTCTTCAGTTATAAGATTAGAGATGCTTTTTAGTTTCCAAAGCTGGCAAAAGCTTTGTTGTTGATAGCCAGATCAAAATAAAAATATGTTTATGCATATTTATGTTACTAAACATTAAACGTGTGGGTGCATTAGTAATTGTTCCAGGCCTGAGAGACACTGTAAGCCCTTTACATGCTTGAATCAATTTCAAAGAACTGACAGAGGCAGGGAGGAGAGATGTGGAAGAGCTGGACCACAAAGGACAAAGAGCAGACTCTTTCAGCCTCTACAGCTTAAGCTGCTGCTTTTGTTAGCGAGTAGCTAATGGCATTTACAGTAGCAGTATGATAGGCCCAAGACGTTTGCACTAAAATTTCATTCCTTCCGATGTGTAAAACCCTCTAAATTGAGCACCTGAAAAATCGGTTATGCTGATTTGCTTCCAAAAAATTACAATGTTACTGATGTAACACTTTAAGGTTGAGATGGGCATTCAATTGTGAACTCTCTCTTGAGCAGCTGTGGCTTTTTCAGAATTGCTTTAAAACTGATATTTCATCTCCTTTATTTTTCCGCCAAATGATTAATTTTTATGGGAAGCATGAGTCTTTTCAGCCTTTCTGCCTTCTGCAGAGGAAAGGTGCTCTGTAAATGAAGCCTGATAAATAGGACGGAAAGTGCAAAACTCAGCTTCTGCAACCTCATTACGTGTGATAAAAACATCCCACTTGGTATAGAGTTTAAAGAATTTAAATACCCTACAGCGAAAACAACGAAAGAAAGAAAAATAAATGTTTAGAGTGGTAGGTGGGGCTGAAACTAGATGAAAAATAAACTGAAGTGTCAGGAATTTTTCCTTGATCATAAGACATGTTTAGCTCAGTCAGCTCTTTGGAGGAGAAAAGATGCCATAAAAATCCAACTAATATTTGCCCCGTAAAAGAATTATTGTGTGTAAGTTATCTTATGCCAGCTTCTTTTTAAAAATTGTATGAGTCATTGGTATGCTTAAAAAAAAAAGGTCTTATCATTTTAGAACTCAATGAGAGCAACAGTAGAATTATATGAAGATAGAAAAGAGGGCTACCCAGCTGTTAAAACCCTTGTTACTTTGGGTAAAGAAGACTTATCCATTAAGGTAACTGCTTTATTTGCATTTGTCCTTTAATTATCAGTTAATTTAATACTACCTAGGCATTAAGAAGTCAGAGACAAGGGCAGAAAACTAACATTTATTGAGTGTCTTATTTGAAAGTACCATGCTAGATCCGTGGCTTACATGACCTCAATTCCAATTCATTGTTGTTGTGTTGTTAGATGCCAAGATTTTGGCTTCTGACTCATGGTGACCCATGTGCAATGGAGTGAAACCCTGCCTGGTCCTGCGCCAGCCCCGTGATGGGTTGTAAATTGGACCATTGTCATCTATAGGGTTTTCATTGTCTGATCCTCAGAAGTAGCTCAGCAGCCCTTTCTTCCCAGTCCATCTTAGCCTTCAAGTGCCACTGAAACCCGTTCAGCATCCTAGCAACACGCACGCCTCCACTGCCAGATGGCGGCGGCTGGGCACGAGGTGCATTGGCTGGGAATTGAACCTGAGTTTCCTGCATGGAAGGCAAGGATTTTCCTGCTGAACCACCACTGTTCCCTTCAGCTCCATTAGACCTCCACTGTTCAGGGAATTAAGGTGGAGAGTTCCAATCCAAGCCTATCCAATTCTACTGTACTCCTATACTTCCTTCTTTGACGTGGTTCACAAAGGAGCCATATTTCATTGGGAGGTCAGAGCCCTTGTAGGTTTTTCGAGTTATCTGGTGTGTACTTGTAGGTTTTTTAAGTTATCTGGTGTGTACTTTATTTAATGAACTCATTGTGTCCGTCTAAGTATAGATTGATTTAAAAGTTTTTTGAACATTTTATACATTGCAGATAAGTGACCAAGGTGGTGGTGTCCCACTTCGAAAAATAGATCGTCTTTTTAACTATATGTATTCAACTGCTCCCAGACCTAGCCTGGAGCCTACAAGAGCTGCCCCTTTGGTAAGCATCTTAAACTGTTGCTTAAGGGAGTATCAGGAACATGCAAAGGGACTTAACGAGAGCTGCCTGTCCCTAAGATTGTTGTACTGTCCTCATTGAACTAGAATCTTTCCTGTCTGATTTGCAAGAGGGGGAGTTTTATGGCTCTGATAACATTCTTTTCTTTGTGGCTCCTTGGACTTAGATTTCTTCTCAAATTCATAACTAAGAAACACAGTTGAGTGCCTCACTCTTAAATACAGACAGAAAGCACTTCCCTGTGAAAAACAGCATCTGGAACTCCACTTACCACCTAGCACTATCCTTAGAGGGGGCAGCAGAAGTTTAATAAACTCAAAAAATTAAACAAGCCCATTGCCATCTGTCCCAGTTCATGGCAATGCCATTTGCATCAGAGAAGAACTGCTCCATAGAGTTTTCAAGGCTGTCACCTTTTGGAGGCAGTTCACTAGATCTTTCTTCTCAGATGTCTCTGGGTGGGTTCAAACCACCAACCTTTTGGTTAGCACGCAAGTGCTTTACCCTTTGTGCCACCCAGGGACACCTGGAAGTTTAATAGTAGTTGAGACTAGGAACAGGACACAGTGGATAGCTGCAGCTTGGTTCTGGGCAGTTGAATGCAGCGTATCATAGCAGCCAACATCACTCATAGCCTTTGAACTTTCACCATCAACTGTGTTGATATAATTAAAATGTTAAATTATGGAAACAGTAAACATTTTATGTTAAATAACACAAGCACGAAGCATAGGTGATGTATGCGTTTTCAGAGTCCTTTCCATCTCGCTCTTGAAATCCCCTTCAGCCCTCCTAAAGCCGTGGAGAAAGCTTCTTGTTACCATGGTAACATATAGAGCCTTGTAGGGCCACACTTTCCTCACCTGCTGAGTGTTTCTAATTGACAAACAACAATTGAACTCCTTGTCATTAAACACAGCAACATATGTATCAGTCTGCAAAATGGTTCAAGGTATAAATTAAGTTTCATTTTAAAGTCCTACCTGAGTGATAAGCACCTAAGAGTAGATTTTATTTGTATGAATAAAAATCAAACACTTGGCATCGTTCATCCGAGACAGTTGGTTAACTCAGCATGTTGAAAACAGAAGGCAAGTCATTTATATAGGATTTAAGAAAATTTATGAAAGATCAATTTAGAAAGGCATTGCATTGACCAGGTTCTGGCACCTGCTTAAATAAACATTAAAAAAAAAAAGACACTTCAAACAAGATAGAGCCTTCTCCATTTGCTTATTAGGAGTGTTGAATTGTCTATTCTAGGTCTGAAAATAGCATCCTGAGGATAGCTGTTGTGTCATACCGTATATACATATATTTTTAAATGAAACTAAGAAATTGAAGTAAAGGACCTTAAAAAGTTATGTATCCAACCTCCCATTTTATAGATGAGGAAGTGAAACGGAGGCCAGGAGAGGTTAGTATCTGGCCCAGGGCCATTGGGCTGATTGATTAGCACAGCCAGTGCTGGCCCACACTCTGTGTTTTGCCCCGTGTATCATGTGGCCTCTCCTTGGAAGGAATGCTTCCACCAGTGTTTCTTCTGGTTACTCATGTCTCTCAGCTCTAAAGTGGATGTACGGAGAGGTGCTATAGAAAACATCATCTCCTCACCAAAGAAGTTACTCCTTTATACCTCTGGGCCACTGAGTCAGAACGCCTCAATGGCAAAGGATCTGGTTTTGGTTTTTGGCCTTGACGCATCCATTTCTTTCTTTTCCTGGAATGTTCACCTTGCCAACTCCTCTTGATCCCTGGATACTGGGAGAACTCACCAAGTCAAAGTAGAGGCCCATCCCTCTTCCGTATTCCATAGCACCCAGGGACTCCTGGAAGTATACCTGTCTTCTCACACTTTTACTGCATTGGACTGCGGCCCACTCAGCTTTTCCTGATAGAGCTGGAGGCGGGTTCTGTGCCTTGATAGAATGGAGGAGACAGACGTCCTCGGGTCTCTTCCTGGAACACGCCATTTTCTTTCCTGTGGTTACCTCAGTCACTACTATGGATATCTCATCTTTACTACAGGGCACATTCAGTCAGTACTAAAACCACTAAATGACAGGGTGCACTCTGTCACACCCAGCCCTTTGGGTTAGGTCCTACCTTGTGGAGTGTATCAAGGAAAGATCTTAGAAAATGGAAGAAATTCATGTAGCTCTGAGTAAAACCAGCTTTCATTTATTTAATTTTACTATGTGTTAAAAAGCCAAACCAAATCCGTTACCACCAAGTTGATTCTGACTCACAGCAGCCCTAAAAGACAAAGTGCAACTGCCCCACATTTTTTCCAAAGCTGTAATGTTTAATGGAAACAAACCGCCACTTCATTCACCCACAGAGCGGCTGGTGGGTTTGAACCACCAACTTTTGAGTTGGTAGCCGAGCACCTTAACCACTGCACCACGAGAATTCCCTTACAATGTGTTAGGCACTGTGCCAAAACTTTACACTTATTACATCATTTAATCCTTATAACACCTCTGAGGTAAGCGTTTAATTCAATTTTTAAGTGAAAGAACAGTTAAAGAGGTTGAATAAACTGCTCAGAGTCACACAGAAAATGCATTTGATGTGAGTGACCAATATGGCAGCATTGAGGATAAGAAAGACATAGAGAGGTACATGGGAAGTACAGACCACAAATATGAACCCTTTTGCA